ATGGAGATAGAGTGAAAGCATACCTGAAAAAGCTCACAAGAAGTGACTTTGATGTTGCCTGATGCATGATGTGGTTAAGGGGGTGAGCATAGCAGTGGACATGTTGCATATTCATTTGCACACCTTGCACCTTCTTATTTACACCCTTGTGGTTTCTCTTTTGACACTTGCACCATCATATGCTGTGGAAATGGGCTTGAGAGCTTTCACTAAGCTGAGCAGAAGCATATACTTCAACATAAGCTTAAGATGTTCTGGTGTTGTGCTGGATCTGCAGTTTGGGGATGTGAGGGTAAAAAAAAAAAAAAAAAAAATCATACACAGGAAATTCTGCGAATGTATTGTATCATGTTGGGGTCAACGAAGTTCACCCATTAGTGGTATGGAACTAACACAGCTCTTGCTTTTCACCTACTTAACACTAGTAGCCAACCAGAAGCAGAATGTTGTGTCAGCATAATATGATTGGTTCAAAACAAAGAAACACATTCATGAAACCTATGATGATGTTGTTAAAAGTAGTTGACAAAGTACTTAGAAACAATAAGAGCTTGGTATGAATAGAAGACACAGGTTAAAATGGGAGGTTGTTCCTCTTCTTCCACAAACTGAAGGTACCCAGCTCTTTGTTCTGGATGCTATCCTGTAGAAAGCTGACATATACTGCAAGTAAGAAAGTGTCATCATGAATTGGACCCTCATCCCAAAACTGCTATCCACACACTCCAACATACCTTTCTTCAACATTGGACAAACTTGTATGGAAATGAGAGAGAAACTGGTGCAAAACCCCACCCCTCAAATAACATTTCAGGCTCAAGATATGTGTTTACTTTAAACCGTGTTAACATCGCCCGCTGGAAAGCACTTTCCATGTGGACCCTTATCTGTTCATATTTTTCTGAGATGATTGCATCCCACTGAGCAATAGACGGCTATTAGACGTCTAGTTCTTTTTTAGACATAATTTCAACCATCTACGTAGATTCTGTATATTTTTAGACAAAATGTAGCCATTGCACTTTAACCAAATTTTTGATAACTATTTATTTCAAAAAGCAACTGTGAGTTGATCTCCAAGTACTTAACCAAAATAAGATACCCGTTGAGCAATATACAGTTAGACCTCTATTAGCTGGCCTCTATTAGCTGACCTCTATTAACTTGGTCTAAATTTAGTTGTCTAAAAAACTTTCATTTTCAGACCTGTGGTAGCCTGATTTTAGACCAGTCATCTAGGCTACATTAAGACATCTATTAGACCTCTTTTAGACCATAAAATGCTCAGTGGGATAGCTGTCTGATTTCATTCTCCGTCTGAAACTGATGTTTAGAAAAAGAAAGCAGACAATGTGAATCAGAGCATTAACATAACTACGTCATTGACCAAGCCCTCTGAAGTAGCTCAGAGACAACAGCTGAAGGTAATTTCTCCTGCAGTTTACACAGTGCTGTCTGACTGATCAGGTGCAAGCTCTTTTACTCTCAGTTTCTCCTGCAAAGATCTCTCTGCTGCTCCAGCTTCAGTTTTTCATCTCAGGTTCAATAACTCACTCCAAAGGCACCACAACACCACATGCTCAGCTTTTTTCACATCTCAATGAAAAAAGAGTAGGTCTTTTTTCTGCTGCCTGCTGATTGATGTTGCATAATGCATTTTTGACGAAAATATCTAAGCCCTAAGTTGCTCAAATCTCTTCAAATGAAGAGGAGAAAATGTTCATGTGCAACTTATCACAAGAGTCAAAGGAGCCCTAATTGCACAATCATTTTTATTGCATTTGTTCTACTCGCTAGCTATAGAGTAATAACCTTGATATTTTAAAAGAGTGTGTATTTACTAAATTTGAAAAAATATATATCTTTCAGTAATTACTGTTCTCCTTGTAGAAAGTAGTGAGGGGGCATCCTAAAGACCTCTTTTGACCAGCTCCTTCTGGTTGAAAGTTCCTGTGAAAGCTTTGTAAAGCTAGATTTAAAGGTAGTTTTTTGTATTATATTACTAATACATTAATCATATTAATATATTGAAAGTGTGAAAAAATATCAGACAATGGTTGATGGTTCGGTATTTTTTATTTGAATAAGTTGCCTGATTTCAAATTGGTTTGTTTACTGCGGCATCTGCAAAATTGCCCCACTGTGGTTTGCAATAGTGTGTGATGAATCAAACAGGAAGTGAAAGTCATTTGTCTCCCTGCAGCAGCTTCACCAAACCAGAAGGCAGGTTACATTCTGAGTGTGTGGACTCATTTTGTGTCAGCTGGAAAAACATTTTTCTTTCTTGTTGTTACTCCCAGTTTTGATAACAGTCATTTTCACTCTCTGCATGGAAACAGATAAGAGACAAAACCTTCACTGGAGGAGGAGAAGTTCACACGCACCTCTGTAGTGCGGTTGTTCAATCGAATCATGTGAAAGAGATCTAGATTTAGACATTTTTTAAAAAGGACTTACAATGAACAGTTAGTTTAATATGCATTTATTTTAAAGAGTGTCAAGAAATGTTGTTTACTCAGCACTAGAGAAAGTAAAGCTTTGTCCTTTGAGTAATGGCCTAGTAATATTAGTCTTGGTTTTACATCTATATGCTCCACGTCTGTCTCTGGATTAAAGTTAATATGTGGGTAGGCTGAATAAATATTGCTTCACACTGCTGGAGTTGTTATTTTCTTTCTTTCTTCTCTTTTTTTATTTTGATTAAAAGGACCAAGATCTCTTTACAATTACCTCCCATTTATCTAGTAAATGATGCATAAAGTAGGTATTATACAAAGCTGAGAGGTCAGTGGCATCACTGTGGGTCACATGGAGACCTACAGTGACCTTTGACCTACATATGTCTGACCTGGGAAAAAGAAAGAACTGCAAGGGCAAAAACAACAGCTGGAGAGGTGAACATGTGATAAACTAACGGGACGTGTTTCTGTGTCAGCGTGTGTGTGTGTGTGTGTGTACAGTCACACAAAGCATAAGTACTAGTGTTGAAAGGATGCCATGTGATACACCTGAGCCACTACATAGGTCCTCATGCTGTGTGTGTGTGTGTGTCATCACTCAGATTCCTGCTTGTTTATCTTTCCGTCTCCTCTCTCCATTCATACATTCAGACACCAACACATTTCACCCATTTTATTACCAGACACACTCTCTGACCCTGAGCACAACCCATAAAACATGATGTGGGTGTTTGTGTATTTATGGAGGGAGGTACTTAAATCACTCATACTATGTTAAAAACAGTCACATTTTATGGTCTCTCTTCAACCATAATGACTGTTTTAGGTAAGTGGGTGCTTGCTTGTTATTGTTGATGATCATTGTCATTCATTTTCTGTGCTAATCCATCTCACAAGACCTGAAAAAAAAACAAAAACAAAAAAAAAAAAAAACCTTACATCCTCCCAAATTCTGCAAAGCTGAAGTCACAGACCAGACAGGCTATCTTACAAATTTGCCATTTACAAAATAAAAACTCCTGTTGACATTGTTTCTCATCCTGCTTCTAGTAAAAATTCATAAGGAGAAAAAAAAGAAACTAAAAATCTGAAATAAAAAGGCACCTTTTGGACAAAGCTACGTTGCTATGAGTCACTGGTGTTGACTGAAGAATGTGAGTTGGCATGGCTAAAGCATTTGATCAGGTTCTTCAACATCCATTCAAGTGTATTGTGTCCCTTTTTTACTTGATAGTTGGTCAAAAACATAGACTGTATATACTATGGACAACTTGTTTCTGCCTACCCCCTGTATGCTGATTTGAAGCCAAAAAGCTCTCAGTATTTCCTGGATTTTTCTTCATTTCCTGAAACCAGCGCTGCGCAGTAGCAATGCGCGCATTCGGCCGTGCAGTCGCTGAGAGTCGCTGTGATGACGCTTGGCTCAAACAGCGTATCCCCCGGGTGAGCTATGCCTGAAGGCCATAGGCTGTATCAGGTGTCAATCATAGAAAACATGAACCCGCTAATAACTTATAAATAAAAAAGGAGCATCACAGAAAAAAGAGGACTTGAGCACAAACCAGTCTTACAGTAACTACATGTCAACATCGCAAGCAGGGGGGAGAAAAAATTATGTTCTGTGTAATAAATTTCTATAGTTTGTCCACAGCCCCTTTGCTGGAGGAGGCGGGATTTATGACCTATACTGCAACCCATCAACAGAGGGTAGTGTTCTCGGAGTGGCTTCACCCAGCGAGGAGGCAGACTCTGTCCATTCTATATACAGTCTATGGTCAAAACCCATTGACAACCCCTTGGCAATGGTTTTTAACTCTGCATACCCCAAGGGTTCAAGCACATTTTGCTTTTACATGCCTACACTGTGACAAAATTGTTTTCTGTTAACATGCTGACTTAACACTAAACAACAAAGACATTTGGATCCAATCCCAGAATCCAGGTACTGGGAGCAAGGCTGGTGTGTGCTCTACAATGCCAATCACCATATGGGGTTTCTGTTCCCGTCAGACTTAAAATCAACACTGGTAGCTTGAGAGTCATCATGGACTCAAGGTTTGATGACTGTCTGGGACCAACAGAACCAAAAAAAATAGCAGACAAAACAATCATTAACAGTAGAAAATCAACATTTAATCTACAGAGTTGGACAGGCAAAGTGAAGATATGGTCATACTTCATTTCTGATCTCAACAGGTTTTTAGGCACAGGGACATACATTTAAAAATATCATATATATTATAGCATATATTATTCTATGTAGCATAAAACCTCTTTACCATAACAACAGAAGCACTTCATCATTGGCTGTACAAAAATACATTTAAATCTCTTTCTTTCTCTGCACGTTTTGGGCACATGTAAGTTGATGTCTGCGCTTACATATACTGTATGCATTGGTGTTAGTACTGTTTCTGCGCTTGTATATCCGCAGGAGTATGTGTGTGTGTGTGTGTGTGTGTGTGTGTGTGTGTGTGTATGTATGTGTGGGTATGTGTGTATGTGCAAGCGTGTATGCAGTCTTCCTCTTGCATCTGTGGTTCAACCAAAGTCGATTCGTGGCCGGTACTCAAGAACCATGGGATACGTCTGAGGGAGACACATAAAAGAGAGAAAGTGCTTCAGAAAGAAGAAATCAATCTTTTGGTCGCTCCACTGTAAACACAAACACACTTCAGAGGACAAACACACCACCGCTTCCACTGCTGCAACGCTGAGAGGAGGCCTTTGATTAAAACTGCTTCACTAACGCTAGAAAAATCTTGAGGGCAGGATTTCCTGTCTTTTTTTGGCCTTGTTAAACCAACTAAAAACATTGCTCAAGCAAAAACATGCATAATCACCCAGTGAGTCAAACGCACATGTACTTCAAATTCCTGTATAATCTAACCGAGTCATGAGACGTATACTTAAGGCTGCAGAACTGTGTGATGCACCTCTAAATGGTCAAAAAAGTTGGGCTGTCAGGCTGAAAGGTTGAAAAATCTGTTTTGAAAATTGAACACACGAGGGCTTGATTCATTCAGTATCGAGTTTACAGCTGATACAGTGAGCAAAGGAAGCTCTTAACCTGTTTTTGAAGCTCAAGCTTTAATTTTGACAGATAAAATGAAAAGTCATTTATTCTTTATCAGACTCCACATTAAGGTTCCATGAACCTGTTTTGGACTGTTACCCAGGATCCACCTGGTTCTGCTCTGCTCTGCAGGGAGCAAGGTCAAGAACAATGTCAGGGAAACGTCAAATTAAAAAAGCAAAAAAGGCATGGCTTCTGCTCACTTTACCGAGGATAAATTGCAAAGTTCCTCTAGAAAAAAAAAAGAAGCTAAAACTGCTACTTGGTAAAGCAGCTACAGTCTGAAGTGTAATGTGCTATGTGGAATACAGAGAATTGGTTGTATCTGAATCCAGTTCTCCAAAGGTTTGTTCCCAAAAATGTTTAATGTAATAAAAAAAGGTGAGTATTTGTGCCAGCAGCTGAAAAGTGAGGAATGTCTCCTGATCTGGAGTCTTGTCTCCTATTTCTGTCAGCTTGAGGCTGCTGGTGCAGCAGAGTACAGCTGCTGTCATCTGCACCAGCTTTCTGCATTTTGCTGCATCATGTCTTGGAAAAAAAAAAAAAAAGGAGACAGAAAAAAACAGACGGTCTCTGTCTCTGTCTGCCTTTCCAACAGTCTTTTACTCAGCACTTTTCTGTCCAGCCACTTTAATTATACTCCACTAACAGTTTTCTGTGTAGCTTACAGAGAGTGTGCAGGGATTTGTTCTGGAGACAAAAATGAGGAAGCACTGTACTCCAGATCTACATCTGTTGTAAAAAGATTTTTGGTGTTTCCAAAAAAAAAAAAAACAATGTTGGTGTTTTTTTTTTCCCACCATTGAGAGTCATTTATTTATTTATTTTTAAAGGTTTTTTTTTAACTTAATGTGTCTCTGTTGGTGTCTGTAATTAGACTGAGGCCAATGAATATCTTAATATGTGAAATATGTAACCTCTGGGGACCAAACGTAATCTTAATTTTACAGGAAATATGGGCTTAATATGTCTCTGTTATCTCTTGTTTTGAGTCAGAGTCTTGGCCAAGTGGGAATTCCGGACAAAGAACGCACATCAGAGTCATTAAAGATTTATATAAAATGATCACAGGATACGGCATTTCACTTAAAGGCATCTCATATCACTGACTGTACTGTATATGATGTGTTGGAACAAAAGGGACATTCTTAGAAAGCAGAATGTGAGAAAGGGGGATCATAACAGACAGAATAGATATGGAGCCCCAGTTTAGCTCAGTCAGTTTAAAGGATACAGCTCTCCACATGTCAAACACATTATTTATTTGGGTTGTTACTTTCTTCTCCCTGCATTGGCTCTTGCTCTAATGAATATCAAGGCAAAATGCCAATAAAATAACCTTTAAAGCCTTTACAGACATGACTTGAAATATAAAATTCATATTGGATATCCAAATCCAATGGGTCATAAAGCATCAATAAACATTTAAGAGATAATAAACATTCAGAACTTTTAGAAACCCTTGTTCAAAACCAGCTTAATTTCCAATTAAGGCCAACTATGTGGGTGTGGCAGTGAAAGGTGAGTCCTCTCAAACTTTAAGAAACAAACTGAGCGTGAGATTAGCTCCAAAAATGGACCTCTGTAGGTTTTTTTTTATTATTATTATTGATTGGTTTGGTATTTAGTTTGTATTGAATATCTTAGTTAACCCATCTCAACACCCCAAATCAGAAATTTTTAAAAACCTTGACGGATAATATTTCAAATGGATTAATTAAAGTTTAAATCTGATGTTTTCCAGTAGTAAATGGTACAAACATTTGATCATGAACTTTAAAGTTAAATATGTAGGTTTGAGGGCAAAGACTTTAAGAAAACTGAAGTAGAAACACAATGATTGAAACATTGGCATCCTGTGTTCTAAAATCGACAATCTTTTAGCTGAAGGCAGTTTTTGTGCTTGTTTTTTATTTTAAAAACACCAAATTTCAAAAGCCAGTTATTGTGAGGTTGATGTTTAAAGGTTGTGATTAGGTTCATCTTTCTCTGGAGCACTTGCAGAAAAGTGTTTAGAGAAAAGTTTAAGGTTTCACCACAAGTTCAGCTCCATCATCCATCATACTCTGGAACAAACCCTGCCAACACCTGAAACTGATTACAGCTAACCAGCTCAGTCCACTGCCTCTCATTTAGAAGAGGGATTGAATGACTCTGTCACATGAGTTATTTGTAGTTTCTGGCTGATTGTTTTTCTTTGTCGTCTTAGTTAAACAAAACTATTTACTTTAATGCACTGTCAGAGGGAGCGTTAACCTTTAACCTAACAGAGTAACAATGAAGGACAGCTCTGTCTTTGCAGTATGACGGCCAGTGGATATCTGGCATTTTAACTGTGAGTGTGTTGTTTGTATTTGGACACCTGCCTGATACAGGTTTATACTGAATAACTATTTGACTCTGCATAGTTATTTGTCTGTGTGCACTTGGGTCATCTGACAAATACACTGACGTAGGTACATAAGCATATTCAACTTGTCTGCTATTAGGTTAAAGGAAAGCTTCTCTTTAAGCTTAAATATGTATCCAGTACAAGATTAAAGAAAATCTCAAATCACTCACAGAATCATTTAATATTTCAGAGTGAGCAGGAATAACTGTCAGTGGCTGTGTCCCAAATCAGGGGCTGTATCCTTTTGAAGGACACATTTGAAGTCTGATTGCATCACAGTGTCGTCAAAGGCTGTCCCATTTCAAAGGCTTATTTAAATGTGGTCAAAAAGTGCAGCCTACCTTTCACTAGCAGTACAGATGTCATCTGCACAAGCTTCTAACCCAGCACAGACTGATATTTATGATATGTCAGATCAAACAAGGTGGAAGGATTATTGTTTTCAAATCAACAAATAAGCAGCAATAGTCATGTGGAGAAATGGATATTCAGATTATCGAATGTTAGTTTTGTTACATAATGTTAGTTATATTGCTTGTTCCAGTTTGGCCTCATCCCAGTCTAATCTGATAGATCTATGTAGGTTACGAAGGCTGGGTCCTTCAAAGGTTAACCCTGAATTGGGACACAGCTTGTACCAGTTTCTGTCGACTTTAATGTCTTGGCAGGGGGGTAGCCTAAGTTCTCAAGTGTTAACTGTGACACCATCAGTGTCTCAGACTTTTCCCTCTATCTGGCTGTTCTGGTGCTGCAGTGGGAATATCAAACATGTTTGATATTATCAACACAACCCAGATCAGTCTGTGAGCTGTAAACAGGGTGGACTTCTGGGTCGCTAAAGCCCTGACACTGACCAAGGTCATAGACCATTTCTCACTTTAAATGTTCCAGCAGGACTAATGGAATATAAAATGATTTAAAATGCATAAAATTCCAATACTGTCTGAGCTTGACCCATAATAATTGATGGGCAACATGACAGCTCCCAAAAAGTGAATCCAAAACATCCTTCTATGGACTGGCAGCAGTGGAAGTCATAAACTCTGCCTCCTTTTTAAATTCAAATTTAAAAACTTTTTTTGTCAAGAGATAGGATCTGGATAAAATTAAGAAATGACATTGATCATATTTTCCCCCCAAAATTTTTCATTAAATGTCTTTTCTAACCAATTCATGTCAAAGTGTTTGAAAAACGTAGTTTTCACTAGTTATTTGGTGTTACAAGAATGGGTCTAACGCTATGATTGACAGCTGTGCTGACAAATGAAGAGGAGAAACAGAAGAGATCTAACAGTGACACAGAAGATCAGTAAATCAGGAAAGCTCTTGCGGCCTGCTTTTATCAGGCAGAAGTCTCCTGCTGGACAGACTCTGGTTTTTTATTTTTTTATGATCAAACATGAAAGTGTGTGCAGTGTGGGAGTATTACACAGTCTCTGACAAAGAAACAATGTGAATATATCCACACATGAGAATTCTACTAACCATCCTCATGCTACTGTGCAGAATGTCACATTTCAGGGTTTTATAAATTATGTCAATTTGCGTCTGAGAAAGAAATGTCATGAGAACATTTCTAACAGTTGCCAGGACTCTACAACTAGAGACAATTTTAGAGACTTCCCCAAACAAACACAATTAAGAAGGCAACAATAAAATGTTGAAAATCGATTTAAAAAAAAATCAAGCAGACTGAGTTTTTAACAGTTGAAAGATAAAATTAACTGCCAGTCTGCAATAACCACCCCTGACTGTGTTCATTAGCCATCCAGACCTCAAACAGTTTTATCTTGATATAATTTGACTGTCATGTTTTGTAGATTTGGAGGCAGTTTCCTGTCAGAGGCTGTAAATAAAGTCAAGCTGTGGGGTAGACAGGAGGATGAGACTGATGAATGACTAAATACCCCTCTCCCCCATATCTCCATTTGTGACTCCCTGGCTTCCCATCAGTCTCACTCACTATCTTAATCACTCCTCTCTTTACCCTGTACCCCAGGCAGGGCTCAAACAGGATTCAAATATAAGTTCTTGGTGTTTGTCCTCATGAGTCACCCTGCAGGACATAAATAATCCTGACTATCTGACTTTGCCTGTTGTTTCAGAACACGGGGTGCTGGGCAAAGCAGAGGTGGAAGACACACTGAAAAAATGTTTTTACTTTCCTTATTTATTCAAGGGTTTACTACATGTCATCAAGTTCAGATTGTGAATTAAACCCAAACTTAAAGAAGGTGAGGTATGTGGCAATAGTAATTTATATTATCTTTGAGGCATTTGCAATCTTAGTAAGGTGTCTGAGGCTGAGTGCATGTAATTTTGGAACAAAGCGAAAATGATTATATCAAGATGATGTTATCTTTGCACTCGGTGTTTTAGTTATTTTGCAGGTTCAATCAATCAATCAATCAATCAAACTTTATTTATAAAACGCTTTTCCTACAAGGAATGTAAAAAAAAAACACGAGTTCAAACTCAGCAAAATGGTTTTTAAAGTAGTGCAGTACAGTTTTTGTTACTGTTCTTTCAGCAGCGACTTTGAATGGCATGTTAAAAAATACACCACTTTCCCCCCATGACATGCCCTTACTTTTGGATGGACTGGACCAAAAACCAAGGCTTAAATCTGCTTAAACTAAGATCAACTGGACTGAGTAGTGATTCCTCCAAATATCAGACACAGAGATCTGCTCACATATATTTAGGTTTCCTGACATTTGAATGTAACTCACCCATGACTGAGAAAATACAAGTCAAGCCTGTAAGATGTGTTATTTCTAATGGTTATCTGAAAAATTCATATTATCGTGCTATCTGATAAACCATTCATTTCTAGTTTGACAACAAAACTAAGAAAAAGTCTTAACTCAATTTATAATGAATGTTAGCTGTTCATTCTCATCGCTTATTGAGATGATTATGGACCTCTATATCCATACATTAAGGTCACATAGTATAAGTACTGCTTACTAGCAAACACACTCTGTATAAAATACTGCTCTTGTGTGGTAAAACATGTTTACCTTATACCCCTGACTGACAGCAGGATCTCATAATTTTGCTCTGGCTGCCCAGCAGCTTTTGTCTGCTGGTATCATTAATACTTGTCTATTTAACAACAGTCAGCAGTGTACGGATTACTGGAAAGCGAGCCCTACACTGTATGATATATACACATACATTTTTTAATGTGTGTTAAGAGTCCAGATGGAAAATACAGTTTTCGACAAGTCTGACAATCTGTGCACACCAAACAGACAATGTGTGTGTCATTATGACAAACAGCGGACATCGATTCAAACTAGATTATTTAGGTCAAACAATGTCTGTGTTAGAAAACAGGCAACAGTTGGCAAAGTGTCTCATTTCCAAAGGCTTTGTTTTAAACTCACTTTGCTTTGCCTCCAATTACAAGGGTTTATAGAATGAGAGGTTTTCTGCTTATCCCGCTGCATGGTGATACAAGGACAAGAAATAACATAACACATTTAGTTTCCCACCCGTGAGGAAAAGGATCTCTAAAGGACCGTTTAAGCTGGACACAAAGAGAATTTGTGAGTAGACACATGAATGTTCCTGTTCATGGAAATTATGAGGAAGAAAATTACTCCTCTTAGTTATACTACCCCTCTAAAGAAGACATGTGAGCACAGCTGGAGCGGAGAAACTACACACTTTATAAGTGTCTCATTTCATACTGGCTTCCTCTACCACACTATTTCCTTTCTTCACCTCTTCCCATCATCCTCCTTTGCTCCTCTGACCTGGTAACTGCTATCCCCTGTGGTGCCAGCTGTCTGCACCCTCCAGTCATTGTCCACATCAGGACAAGACCTTTCTATTACTCACAGTTCAGCACTTTCACACAAACTTGTAGATTTACAGAGGATGAACTCACTTGAATCATAGACTGTCCTCACCCTAAACCAAAACAGCTCCAACTGCTGCTGTGTGTGTGTGTGTGTGTGTGTGTGTGTGTGTGTGTGTGTGTGTGTGTGTGTGTGTGTTCTCCCTGTTTTTTTAATCTTTGTGGGGACTACATAAAAACTTCAGTCCCATTAAATGAGGACCCTTCAGGAAGTGAGGTTACTCTATTCAGTACTTATTTCCTTTGAATGGCTCTAAGGCTTATGCTGCTGTTTGGGAAGAGGAGTTGTTTAAAATTGATTCATCCAGATATTTCCAAAATATAAATACGTTTCTTCGATAATCAGTGAATATCAACTAGCTTTCCACATGAAATACATAGTTTTTTAAATAGATTTTGGTAGTACATTACTTATCTCTCAGTATTTTTTACTTAATACAACATTTTTTTCTTGTTACTTGTACAACTCTGTTTCATCTCTCTTATCATAAATGTTGATTTCTTTTATCAATCTATGTAAAATTATTCTGTATGTTTTACTCAATGTTTCAGAACTTGAAACCCACTCATTCAAATTATGTGTCACTTAGTAAGACCACTTCCAGCATAGTCAAACCAAATAAAACGTCTGCATGCACCTGCAATCATCTTCCTCTTTCTTCGTACACATTAAGGACTTATTAGTCACGTTGTTTTTAATGCTAAGTGTTGAAGGGAAATTTCTCACAAGATATTAAGATCAAGAATGTATTTCTTTTCTGTGTCTGACTATGTTGTAGGACTTTTATTCCTTGGAGACTATCACCGTACATATGATCTATGTTTCTAACTCTACAAGTTCGGGAACTTACTCTGAACTTCAGTTAAAACTTTTCAAATTGACTCACTTCTTTCAATATTTCTATATCAAGGTTTCATAATGAGGATAAGTCATATATTCTTTGAAATGAAGAGGTGGATACAGAAATTGCTTTTTAAAATTTTCCATTTAGATAATAAAAATTGACACTAGATCCAATTAAAGACCCATACAATTTTTGATGGTCTTCAAACGAGCTTCAATTGTCCAAGACAAACCTCTTCAATGACAGTCTCAGGAATAAAAATGCTATGTTTTCTGAGAAGAATTTGAACTAGTTAATTTCATTCTTACTTCTTCTCCTAAACCCCAAAACCCTAAACTAGCTTGCCAAACCTTGATTGAAATAATGTTTTAACCTGAGAAGAAAAGTCTTGACTTGAGGCAACTATATTTAAGTCTCTGCAATGTAAAAAAACAAGTTATGCAAATACAAACAGAACTAATTTCCTGTACTGGTGCATCTAAACAGCAGTCACACTCATACACTCAAAAACAGGAAGTGGGGGTGACAGCCTTACATTCTCTCCATGTAGCCTCCATCGGGTCATATAAATGAACTCCAGGGTGTGATCTCTGCCCATGATCTCTCCGTTGCACAGCACGTCCAGCTGGGTACAGCACAAACAAGAAAAATTAAATGTGAAAAAACTTTAATTCAATGTCAAAGTTTAAATAATAGAGGAGACTGAGAACAACAAAATGATTTAATAAATAAGACAAAGGCTTAACAAAGCAAAGAAGGGGCAAAGACAGAAAATATCACGGGTTAAAGGAATAAAAGATGTCAGAATGAAAGGAAAGGGGAAGTTAAACTGTGGTAATGAGTGGGAGGCAGCACTGCATGTGTGAAAGACTATGTGAGTGTGTGAAAGACTTGATTTAGCTCAGTCTCTGTAAAGATATGGAAGATAAGGCTGATTTGTGAATGGGATATTAATGAGCATCTGGCTTAATCAACACTGTGTTCAGTCAGCCCTATCAAAATTTAGCTCGGCTCTTGAGAACATGAACTCTTTTGCTTAAACTTTTTTAAACAAAAAACACTTTATAGGTAATAGTGGTACTTGTTTGACTGATGACACATTTTTTGTTTTATTTTTCTTTTAAGCTCCTATGTGAATTTTTCCACGTGTGTTGTTTTTGGCAGCTCCTGTAGTCAAAACAAAACTGCTTTGACCTCAAGGGCTGCCAACAGATTACTCAGCATTCATCGTTCTTATAAATGCCAGTGTCTCAATAGTGAACTTCACCTCAATTAGGTGAAGTTCTAGTCCTATTTGGTGGCCCAAGTATAAATTTCAGTGTTTCATTGACAGATATGAACCTTTCACAGATGCTTAAAGTGATTCAGTCATCTTTTTTTGTTTTGTATGTATTGTTTTAGAATATTTGATTGACAGTGACTTTATTGTGCTTGTGGCACTGCTCTGTGGCTGACTCTCATGAGCTCTGTGTTTTTATATAGCTCTTGGTGTAAAACAACTTCCCCCTGGGGGCAATAAAAGTTTTTTTTTTCTTCCTTTACAGTTGTATTTTCTCTTTAATTATACAACACATACGATGAGCACGTCCTACTCCATTAACCACACCTTTGTTTAATGCTGGTATGACTCATATAAGGGGTTTTGAATTTGTCTGAGACTAGTCACATAGAAAATCAAGATTTTTGACCTTGTTATCCCTAAATTCTTCATACAGTTTAGTCTTGAGATTTATTTTCTTTAAAATACATTTCTGAAGTAGAAGGATGAATCTGTTCCTCACCTCATAAGAGCTGGGCAGCTTGAGTTTAAGACTGAGAAACTTCTTAATCGTTCCCACGGTGACTCGACTGGAGCAGCGGATAAACCTCTTCATTAAATCCTAATTGGACAAGAGACAAATTGTATTAGACTCTGATTTAATGAGAGTGGTGGCTAAAAAATGAAGGTGGGACTTTGAGTGAAAAGCTCCCCAAAAACATGTGAACTTTTATAAAAGACTCAATACTGACTGTCCAGTATGCATGAAAAATATTATTAACCCTGTTTAAAGACCATTTAACTTATGTGCAAATTCTCCATGCAGGAGAACATTAAAGCGACAGGCCTACACGGATCAATATCGATTAAGAAACTCAACACTCAACAACCATTGGTAAATTCTCATAAAACACACCGAGACAGTGCTCTCCCCTGACTGTCCTGTGTTGCGTAGGCAGTCCAGACAGATAGCTATCTGTGGGTCACTTCTGTGGTAATCTTCATCGCCACCATCCTCATCATCACCCCCACCATCACCATCACCGCCTCCAATACCTGGTAGCCCGAGCCTCTGACACACCAAGTTTTCTGCTGAACAAACACAGAACACACAATGAGTGATGTCTCTCTCAAAAAAGAAAAGAAAATGAGCTAGCTTTACAATCCTTCTTCAAAGGACAAGTACCTGATGAGACAGGCTGTATATGAAGCTGTTAAAACATCACAATGATGATGACTGATAACACTGAGTTATTGCTGCCTTCAGTGAGCAGTACTACAGTAATGCATGGTGTGCAATGTTTTAGATGGAAATTCCCCACCCCAGATTTGAATGGAATATGAAGATTGTTCACATGTTGATCATTTAAAGTTTTGAAAAACATACTCCATTTTTAAATAATAAGAGGTAATAAAAAAAAATCTTTTAAGCAAAGAACAAGATTACAGCTTACCCTGGCCATTTTCTTTGGGCTGGTTCTTCCTCCAGAACTCCAGTTCCTGCTGTTCCTCCCCTGGTTCACAGGAACAGACGATATAAAGAAAACCATGTAAGCAAGTGGTCTGAAAACAACGAACAGTGCTCATGGTGTGCGCCACTGAAAATGACCAATCCCTATAACTTAATGATGATGGAGACCAGCTGTTATTAAGTGACACTGCCTGTGTGGTGCATGCCATGAGGTATCCCAGCATACTCTAAGCAATATTTTATTTTGTAAGTAGGTGACCCCAGTCAAAATAAGATATTCGTTGTGAAATGCAAAAGAAGCTACCTGCCTGTTCATGCCAAAGGCCAGATCTGGGTGAGTTCAAGCCAATGCCTTTTGAGTGCTATAGAAATGACACGAAGAGGGTTTGCGTGTCTCACAGAATATTCATTTCCAGTTTGAGTAAGGATATTACATCCTTAAGCCACTGGCTAGGATTTGGAGGCAACATCCTTCCATTTAAGCAAGACTCCACATCTGGCCAAATAAATTCTAACTTACAAACTTGACTGGACTGAAGTTAAAAAAAAACTCAGAAAATAAAAATTCAGCACAGTTTTTTTGACATAGCTCAACACATAATCACAGCGGCTGCAAGAAAATAACATCATATTGCCTTGCCTAGTGTGGCTAATTCAAGCAGAGCTGGCATAACTAGTCTTAAGCCCTCTTTGCAGATTTACTCCCACATGCTGGTTACACATTGCTCCAGTCTGATTGCTCTGTCAGTTTAACCTGACACAGCCAACACACAATTTTATTAGCTCAAAATACTGCCAAACTGTGCCACACTATGAGATGCCATCTGTGCATTTTTACATCCAGGTAGTAGAGGATTATAGCATCATGGCAGTCAATGTTAACCTGAAATACATTTCTGTCAGGTGGTAAGTGGTAAAGCTACAACTTTAACACAACGTATGACAAACAATTCAGGCCAGACTCTTGATATTAATGATGACTCATTTAACTGTCCAGTAATTCTGACACTGAAGGTCGTAACATCTAATCAACCATACGCAGAAACCTCAAGCACAGAAGCATAATTTGAAACCACAATGCGACCTAGAAGTGTAATAATTTGCTGTCTTTTCTAGAATTCCCTTTTCATTTGAATCATTTATTTGAGTCTAACACTTCTGATTTTTCAGTGGTACTGGATTCAAACAGGCCAACTGCTTTGTGTTTAAAGATCCTCAAGCAATCAAAAGATAAAAATGTATGAGTGCCACATTAAGGCAGCCACTGGCTATCCTGATTTTCACGCATGATGAAAAAAATAAATTCTGAGAATGGATATAAATCAAGGATGTTTAAGAAACCACAACAGTGTAGTCTTCAGAAACAATAAAACAGAATTCATGTGAGGCTGGTTATTTAGCCACTTGACAGTGAGGCACAAGGCCTACTAAAAGTATATCTTTTTTCCATCTCTCTCTGTCAGTGCAGGTTAAGTTATGGAGACATAAATTTGTAGCAATGTTAGTTGAACATGTTGACTAGCCTCATGTAGTCTGAGCTACAGAGAAGGTTGTTCATCATCATGTTATAAGACCCTTCAGCATCAACCTCTCTGAAAATAATGTTGCACCAGCAAATCATATCAATATGTACTATCCTCGATCTTATCAGGAGTGTAGAGAAGCTGAATTCAATCTGAACAGTCAGACAAATTCATAAATCATCACCTCTTATCAGCTTTGCGGACATGACACTAGAGTGGGCCTCTCTTTGTGTTTTCCTGTAAGAAGAAAGGAGTGGCTATTGGCTGGACACCTGGCTTCAGTTTCTTTTCTCAAGCACTTATGCACTTAATGAACTAACCAAAGAGAAAGATTTCTCTACCTGACTGGTTATACGGTAGATTCACCAGTCTTCATTAGTCCAAAAGCACAGAACAGGACTGATTAGTGCCAATGGTGTGGGACACTGATAGGTAGAAAGATGCTTACCCGTGGCCTGATGTCAGCTGATATCTGTTTTGGCTGTCAGGGCTGATCATATCTTGTAACTGTTTTCTTTATGTACCCAATGAGTAAACTGGGGTTATTGCTGGTGGAATATCTACATATAATACTTTGTTTGGGGTCACCATGTGTACATATTGGTAAATCCTTTGCATGTCTTGTAATGAGTGATGTGATCGGAGTGCTGGCGTGGTTTCATGAAGGTTCACATAATTAAACCCCGACTGTAAACCAAGAGATAGATTGATGAAACCATCTGGCAACTCACTTTCTCTCAGTCCTGGCACCAGCTTGAAAATGATCTCCTCCAGGGTGTTGTCCAACCTGGGAATACACAGAGAAAGAGAGAAGCGTAAGGAGATGGAAAGAGAAAAGAGGGATGGATAGGTGAAGAGAACGTTTTATGAGTAAGGGAAGTATTTAAAGAAGGGGGCGTGAGTAAAGACACCCAATATGAGAAATTTAGAGGACAAGTCAAGGGAAGAGAGAGCTGGTAAAAAAAATGAAGACATAAGTGATAACAGCTTGCCATGGTTGATACTAAAAAGGGTGAAAAAAGACATTTTTAGGGACAAAACAGTGAAACAATGGTGATGAACAATAAGGATATCCAGACAGAGATGTGTGAGAAAATAATGAGTGAGCAAGTCGAAGAAATGAAAAAAGAGAGCAGTAACAGGAGCACCAAAGGGCTGTTACGCAACAGAAGTGGATGATATTTTAATTTGTGGTACCCAAAGCATAAGCATGTTATTTTAATGAAACCTGGTGACTTAGCTTTTTAAACAGAAAAAGAAAAGAAACAGAGCTATAAAGAACAAAGGCAAAGAGAGCTGACGTATGACCAACTATGACAAATGAAGAAACAATTGCAGTAAAATATAAGAGAGGATCTTGCCTGAGCATCTCCAGTGGGTTGGTCTCGTGGACCTGAATGCCACATTTAGGACAGTCATTGCTGTCCTCAAAGTGCTGCACAATACAGCTCTTACAGACTGCAGGAAAAAAACAACATTAAGACTTTCAATTGGAATCGAATAAGCATCTCTGATTGCAGCTATTCATCAAATAATTTTGTCCAAGCACTTCTGTGCAGCTGTTGACAATGGTTATGATTAGTTTGGTTATTTTAAGATCGCTTGGTAGATCAAGAGCAAGTAACCTAACATGGCATGTGATAAACAAGTTAGGGGTTTAAACTATGAGACTAAATATGATACACAATTATGTATCTCATTCAGTGTTGAAGTGAGCATTTGTGTCTGCGCCACATATGTGTAGCAGCATACATTTTCAACTACAGACTAACTTTAAAGTGTCTTGATGAACTTTTGCTTTATGTTGCTGTATGTAAAGGTCTGTGCCGGGGGGGCATGCCCAATGAAATCTTAAATCTTAATGCACCCCCCACTCCCCGGTATCACTCCTATATCAGCTATTGGCCTTGTAAATGGCAAGGCATCAAGCTTATGGGCAATGCTGTGACATGAAAAGACTTCACACATCTCAGGAGAAATCTGTCCATCCAAGTTGCAAGTAAACTCCTGCACATTGTCTGCTAAAATTCCAACGCATCAGTGCAGAAATGTCAGACAGCTGGACAGCGTGCTGGAGTTTGCTTGTCATCTTTAAGTACTTTTAACTGTGACTTTGACCAGCTATCCTTTTAAATAACCAAATAATTAATTTAAAAGATTTTTAGTTAAATTATAGATTTTAACATCTGTAAGGTACTTGAGAGTGGATAAGATCAGAGACACAAAAGACCAAATATTGATATTGATTTGGGTTTAAATTTGTTTGCTCCCATATGTTATGTAACCCCTGCTAAGTCAGTGCTCTGGGTTGGGCCACCCCTACCACAATAGTTCAGAATGAGCCCCTGGTGTCCAGTGCACTGTTAAATTCAGTAATATTGAAATGTACAGTATGGGATTGTGTTTGTTTCACTCACATGTGTGCAGGCACTCGGTGACTGTGGTTGGTTTAATCAGGTATCCTCTACACAGGTAACAGGTGATGAAATGGTTAAAGTCTCTCACAAAGTGTCTCCTTCCTGTAGCGGCCATTTTTGGAGTTTTTTCAAGCAATGTTGCAGCAAGATACCGAGCGGGAGTCAGAGTTGTAGTTTAAAGCTGAAGGGAAGTGTCACTGTCTTTTTTTGGAGGAGTCAGACATCCATTCACGACAATGATGAACACATGAAATCGCATTCAAAGGCTAAAATTTGCTGCTTCAGTCTTGAAAGGTTTTTCTTTTTGAGTTTTTCTTGAGTTTGGAGTTACAACATTGGCTATCATCAGTCCAGAGTAGTGCATGAGAGATGTTACTGTATGAAATCCTTCTCCATTGTTCTCTATTAAATTTTTGGTCACATCTCTCTGCTTAGTCCACAGTCATCGAACAATGTTAGTCTCATTAAAACAAAGAAAGGCAACCAGCTGATCCAGTCTGTGTACTCCTGTTTCAGAATAACAAGTTTGTTAAGTTCCAAACACTCCTGGATGGTAAAATGTTTCACTCCCCTCCTTGTCTCTGCCACATTTTTTAATCCATGAGGGAGGGGTCAAAGGTCAGCTGACAAGACTGAGGGCAAGGGCATCTGCTTGGTCATCTTCGTACAGATCTGTCCATACATCATTTTAGTGCTGCTGTTGGCGTCTTCATCCCCATCGTGGCACTCAGTGACAGTAGAGTGCCTGGAGTGACCTTTGAACTTCAAACTGAAGTGAACCTACAGGAGATAAAATGGGAAAGATTTGATTACTTGTCAATATCATGCTAAAATGAAAAGATGTTTACATACATATAAAAAACAAAAACTGAAAAAGGTGTACAAAAAATCATACAAGCACTGTACAAATAGAATAATAATAACAGAATAATTATTTTAATACACTTATTAAGTGGCTAATAGGTTGAAAGCTATTTGAAAAATACAATGTTCTTGTTAAATTTTGACAAACAACTTTCAGGCCTATTTTCTTCACATGCTTGTCACTTTTGAAAGTTGTGACTGACCCAGTTTTATTGTGAAGTGTTTCGTCACTATACATGATTAATACAGTCACTCATAACGAGCCACATAGTGACCTTTTATCTTACAGGATTGTTGCAGTTCTGACCCACATTTTTCTTCCCCCTATCCCTGGATTACATTATTAACTCACCTCCATTCCATCCTTATACTTGGATGGATCTGAATGGAGTTTGGTTACTGCTTCAAATATAGTTTTTTGTAATTCATACTCATCTCGAAACGGTCATTGGGAAACCATAACTCTATTTTTCTAACATATGCCTTTCAAGAACCGATTATTTTCAATGCTGCTGTTCCAGTAAGTAAAGTGAGTAAATGTTTCTAATGAGGGATTAGTCACTGTCAGGTCTGACTCATTCCCTTTGTAAACAGACAACAGTTTGTCCATGACTTGATAACAGGGTACCTTCCAGTGATGTATACTATGGTAGAATTTTTTATCCAATCATATTTCAGCTAGCTTGTGTTGTCAGGTGCTATGAAACCTGCCCAAGGCCTACAGAATCAACAGAGCAGGCGCCTGTGCGCTTTAAGTGAACCAACACAGTCAATTGCAATAGCCAATCAGATCTCGAGTCTACGACACCAAGGCCAGCTAGAAGGTCTCATGCTGAAGTGGCCATGTACGCGGCCTGTGATTGGATAAGCACTCATGAGAACCTAAAAAGGTGGCACTTTGCAAAATATCAAACGAAACCAAGAGATCCGTTAGCTACAAACAGCTATCACTGTATGTCACTGTATAGAAACCCGACCGGACAGACAGGGGTTTCAGCATGAGTCTCCATGTTAAACTGTATAACAGAGCCATTGACGTCTTCTCGAAAAAGGAAAGAAGGATAGATTTTATTTTAGAATGAGCAGGTGCTGTGGAGGAGATCTATGTTGGTGAGTGCAAGCTTCATATTTTTAATACCCTTTTTGTCATTTTATTTTTTAAGTCACTCTAGTCACAGCTGTGCAATCATGTTCAATTGTTTTGCTGTTGCATTTTCTCAAAAACAAATGCAAATGATCTGTTCATTTTCAATGAATAGTTTGTTTTGTTATCGTCTCTTTGGTGTCTTAACATGAAATGGCGAACATAGGTTATTTATTGAACAAACTTGTTTGAGCTCACATAAAAACTTTTGGTGGCCTTTTGTTGACCAATATCTTAATATAAAAATCTTAATGAAAAATCGCCTTGTGACAGTATCTGTGATCTTAGTTTCCTACTCTTACCTTGATTGTGTGCTTATTGATTTTAAATGCTCTGCAAATAAAGTGTTGCTCAACGAGCCTATATGAAGGTGAGGTTTAATGTCCAAGTGTGATTCTGATAAATTCTCCAGCCATGGTGTCTCATTGATAGTATCATGAGGTGTATTAATTCAAGTAGGACTAAGTGGAACAGCACTGAAGGCGTGAAAAGCACAGCCCGCTGCTGGTACCTTGACTTCTTATTATCATGTATTGTCTCATCCAATATCTTCAAACATTGAATCTCTTTCGTCACACTAAAAATGAGCCATAAAGTTTACTGGTGACAATGTCCAGCTTGGTCCCCCTTATGTATGGTAGGGAGTTAGGCTATACATGACTATGAGACTGTGTAGTTGTCATATCCCAATCAGAGGGCCAGGATTCAATCCCAGTTCCCACTATCCACCTGGTGACGTGTCCTTGGGCAAGACACTTGACCTCACCTGCTGCCACAGGCTGTGTCCAGTGGTGTGTGGATGGGATTTGTCAAAAACCAGTGCTGTACATCACAGCTTCTGTCATGAGTATGTGAATGTGGTGTATGTGATATGTTAAAGTGCTTTGAGAGGACAGAGAAGGCATTCAACAATCCAGAATCCAGTTATGTCAAAACAATTCCAGAAGCAAACAATGTTCACCACTGCATTTCCAACACAAAGAATAAACCAATGCAGGAAAATGAAAAAAGGAATTTTGACTTTAACCCTTAGAATTCCCAGCTATATTTTGCTATTTTTGGTCTGCCTCTTTTTTTTTGTAAAAATCTAATCCTTTCATGCACAGCAAATATATACACGTCTTTTTTTTATCAGGATGACCTCAGCTATCAGTTTATGGGTGCAAAACTTATGTTAAATGAAGATGACAGTAGATTCAGAACCATCAAACTCAACAAAAAACAAAAACAAAAAATTGATACCAATGGTACTTTGCACAAAAAACACATAAATCTACAGTGACCAAGCTTTTTCTCACCTGTTCATCATTCTCTCAAGTCTTGGCTATCAGGAGAAGAAATGTTGGGATCGGAACAAACACACAACAGAAACTATTTACATATTTACACTAATTCTTCCAGGCGTTTTTTTTTTTGCTATTTACAGTTTTTTATGCCACTCCTTGAAGCAGTTCCTGTCTGGAATTAGACTAGACAGAGGGCCACATCATACTGCTCATAATCTCTTCTTTGCTTGTTTCAAAGCATTGAGGACTATTATTTCTTATTTTGCAGACAAGCAGGGTCTTTCTTGTCTCTTGTTAATCATTGGTTGCCTCTTATTGGACACTACAGTCAAGGGACCAATAGAAGAACAATATGAGACCACGTAATTGGTCAAAAGTTTGAACAGCTCATAAAACCCGGAAGACATTAGCAGCATTTACTGATAGCAATCCTTTTTTATCACAACAATATGATAAATTGTCATGTTTTTACCGGTATATCATTGCTGATTTACCATCAAAAGTCTCTGATCAAACATCTATTTGTGTGGCTGAAATGTAAACCATGTGGCAGGTGTAGAAATGCCTGGAAACCTTCAATAGTTCACCAAAAGGGTAAGCTTTTGAACATTGTTTATCCCATAGAGATACACGGTATAGTTCCTGAGAAACTGTAAACAATATTAATGGTGCCACATGGGATCGCCAGCGATCCAGCTGAGCTCTAAGTGTCAATGAATATGAATACATGCTGAAAAGTAAGAAAGTAAGAGCACACAACTGCATATATATATATATATATATATATATATATATATATATATGTATGTATGTATATTTACACACACATATATATATGCTCGTGTGCTAAGTGTACATGAATGTTCCAACATACACAAGGCTTTAGATTAGCGTGTCACTAATATACACACACACACAAATATATATATGTTTATATACACACATATATATATATATATAAACACACATATAGTTATTGTCTTGATAATTCATACTTTTTTGTGCACCTTTAATTACTCATTAAATATGACGTCACATAAACAGCATATTGACGGTGTGTGAACGTCAGGTGTGTAAACAGTGCGTAAACACATGCAGGGCTGGATACTAGGTACAGGCAGCTTCACTCACTACAGAAACTCAGATAGACAGAGGGGGAAAGTGTTTACTTCACCGACAACTGTTTTTTTTCAGCGTGGGTCGCTTTATGCTACAAAAATGTTAAGTGCGCAGTTCAGAAATCCTCCTCAGTGTCTGTCAATGAGACAAGTCTAGCACGCGCACATATACACACGAGCGTGCCTTCTCTTCACACGGAGCGGATCCGCTTATCTCATCGTTAAGGCGCGTCACGGTCTACGTCACCTGTGTCAAAACAACATCAATGGGCGACACACGCACATATTAGTGACACACGCTAATCTCAAGCCTCGTGTATGTTCGAACATTTGTGTACGCTTAGCACGCGAGCATACTCGTACATATGTCGTCGCTCGCTACTGTATACCCATCCATCTACACACATACACGCGCAGACACGCGCACGCAGCACGTATCGACAATAAAAGTTACACAGCTTCATGTCAAGGCCTTTTAATGACACCAACGGAAAGCTCACAGCACGCAGGTTATATACCATTTGCGTGAACATACCGTAATCCCGCATGTGAGTGTGCACAGCGACGCACTTTGCGTTTCAGGAGAAAGCGCGAGAGTGGGGGGAGGGAGGGGTAAAGAGAGAGGAGGTCCAGCCAGCAGCGTCAAAGTTTGGCTGTAACGTAACGCGACCGACGTCGGCTGGTGAATCCGCCATCCGCGTAGAAATAATGAGAAATAATAACACAAAGCTCACCTTCGGTCTCACTTTCCTCCGGTCCTCGGAGTTAAGCGTGCCGCGGCTGGACAGGAATGTCCACCATGACACTACCGGGTCCTCCTGTTCAGCCTGGTCCGTGTACTGGGAGAAGAGAGAATACGGAACTGGTCGGCTCGGATCTGCCCCAGTCCGTCCAACAGCCAAGCAGGCAGGCAGGCAGGCAGCAGAGAGCAGCGGTGGGCGGGGAGCCACCAGGCAAGCAAGCGAGCAGGCAGGCAGGCAGGCAGGGCTCGGAAACTGAAAGCGGTTGTGTAACTCAGCGACTATTGGCCTACAATACACACAGTCACATACACACACCTACACGGTAATATACACAAAACGCACTGTCTGTTGTGTGTCGACATAAAGACTGATGGAATAAAAATAAATAAATAAATGTTTGATTTATATAAAAGTAGGTTGGAACATACAGGTGTCAAAAAAATCCATATTCCTCAAATTATAGGCCGAGTACACATTACTACAGGCTAATTGTCATTTATTAAAACGTTAACAATGTAATATTAGTCAACTGATGCATTTAAGACACTCTAGTCCTGAGAATATTAAAAACTAAGAAGCCAATTAGGCTTATTAATATCAGGTCCCCACACTCTCTAACAGTTACACTGTAACCTTCTTGTTACAACTTTCTTTAAGGCTCTGACTGTTCTCCTCTTTTGAAACTAATTTAGTCTCATCAGAATTATTTGGTTTGATTAAGCAAATAAATAAGTTGAAATAATAACAAATTACCTTACATCTTGAATTGATCACTTTAGTTGGCTGTTTTTTTTATTGTTTGTTCATTTACTCTGTCCTCTTGTCTGCTCAAATTAGAAATAAAAAAAGAATCAGTAAGATACATCATCATCATCATCATCATCATTATCATCATCATCATTACAAACTATGGCAATAAAAAGCATGTTACTCGGGACATTCTTGTTAATGTAGACAGTAGTTATCTAACCTAAATCATGTAACTTGGATGATGAAATGTTACAACAGACTTTAGTTTAAACTAAAATTACTAATATTTGATATTAGTTTTTGTCCTTTTTGATTACTTTTTGTTCTTTGGGGAACTTTTCATAGAGGCTGAGTTTGTGCTCCAATCTTGAGATGAGTTTCAAGTTTCCTTATATTTAGAACAGATATCAGTCTGATAGCAAATGAGAAATTAGTCACATTTATTTACATTATTCAATGCACGCTATAATCCAATACACAAGGTTATTTTAGCCAGTTACATGTTTCAGATGGATTGTCATTAATTAATGAAAAAACATATTGGGTTATGCTGTAGATTTCACAACATGACTGATATTTGTGAGAATTACACAGCCTCACATTACACAGCCTGCTTGTTTACCATAAATCAAGTTAATAGAGGCAACTGATGAGACTGCCTGCAGTGTCTGCAGAGATTATTTCTTTGTGATTTTTTTAAACAGCTTTATGAGCACAGGCATCAGCTGATTAAAATTAATAATGCTGCTAATCAGCCAAAATAAAGGTCTGTCAATGGAGATCACAGACATACAAGTTAGCTTGGATGGCTCCTTTGAGCAGTTCATGAAAACTTTAAGAAGCTGCTTGGTCTTCTGTCCTCAAGTAAAAAAGAAACTTCGGGGTCTCAACTGTTCGTGTATTCGAACAGAATTATTCACCTTGCTGAGATTTTTTTTGGAAAGAAAATAGTCTGTAAATTAGCACCTTTGAAGCCCTGACTTATGGTGCTCTTGAAACAGAGGGAACAGAAAAAAATACCAATATCTTACAGTCTATTCTTCCTATATTGTCTCCCTTTTTTTTCTTCTGGCTGCAACTGAGATATCAGGGTGACTAAGATAAGCAAGTGAGGAGGCAGGAAAGATTAGCTCTGCTACAAGTTAAACTCAGTGTTATATGTTCTCTTAAAGCATTGGACACAGTCAAATCTTGACCTGGTTGCAGCTTGATGACAGTTTGAGCAAGCAGGATTAATTTTCAAAGAACTTTGGCAACTGTTGAACCTTGAATTTCAACTTCTTCTCAGTAGATTGTCATCACATGTTAAACATGCATTCACTGTCCACAGAGGATTAATCCATCTCATCGGGAAAGGCTCTAGATGTTCCATTTGCACTGTAGTGAATGATTCAACAACACTTGGCACACTCATCATCATCACTTCATCATTACATTAGCAAAAATTGCCACACTGCATGTTGTGATTTACTGTCATCACTTGATAACTATACCTCCACACCCAGGCACACTTCTACTCGTGGACTAAAAATCAGGGATCAAATCATCGCTATTTGGCTTGGAAACCAAAATAGATTCTAAGAAAATAGTCAAGCCCCTGAATGACTTAGCATGTGGCAACATGAGCAGGTTCAATATATCTTTGACTGTGACCAAATACCTGTGAAGAGCCCCACTGATCTGAGCTGTACTTTGTATTTTGTGCCAATTCCAAATGTTAGCACATGAAAAACTGAGGGGGCTTTTGGTTTTCGTCACTAAAGCACACTTATCTTAGCATTCAGCGTGAAGCAGCTCTGTGACCATATACTACATAACAGAGAAACTAGCACTGCATCTGAGGAGTCTGTTTTAGTTTTTGACATCTGGGCCTCTTATCTGTTGTGTCTACATCCTGATAGCACTTCATGTTTGCCTGGAATCAAGTGCACAAACACATTGTTCATTTCATTGTGACGGTAATAGATTTTGTATTTCATTAAAAAAAATGCCTTTATTTCTTCTTATTTTTCCTCCAGCAGGCTTGTTGGTGCTGCACCGACACACTGAAGGGGCCACTGGGGGGGAAACAGTCTTCAGTGACATCACCCTGTGGGATATGACCTCTTGTTTTGGGAAGAGGAATGTGTCACCATGGAAACACAGTTCCAAGTCACAAAGTTGGACAGTCCTTGAGATGATAAATTCCTAGAGGAAAATTTTGCCCTGCAACTATTTGACTAAAAATATTGTGTTTCTCTTGAGGAACAGCTATCAGGTTTTATGATGATTCTCTTCCCTCTGTTTTTGTTGGCCTGGAAAAATGCAATAGTTCCTCTTTGTGGCATGACTTGACAAAATCGAGCAACAATAACAGAGAGTTGCTTTCTGGATTTCATAACCCTCTGTGCTTTTTTATGTGGAGATCATAAACAGGATGGTCCCTGTGGATGCTGCTGGCCTCAGACTAGTTCTTCATGGTCAGACCCTTGGAAAGTTTCACAGTTTGGACTTTTACAGTCTAAAAGAACAACTGCTAAACCTGTCACGATGTGTCAACATAGCAAGGGATAAGCAAGGGGTGATGTATAATCAGCAGGTAATAATGCAAATTAATTTTTTATATGATGAGCAAGACTGAGAACTGAATCACAGGAGTCCTGCTCACCATGTCTGGGCTCTTAGAACAAACATTATCCTGTTTACTACATAGGGAATCATTGTACGCAAAAGGGATTCCAATTTGATTTTCTTCAGGAAAATTATTACCTCCTGTTGCAGTCTGTTACACTCTTGTGCCTGTTTACACAGGAGACTTCTCTTAATGAGCTAACTTAGCTGTTATAGCCCACATTTCACTGAATTTGATTGGCTCTTCTGCCTTGCCAGTGTCAGAGTCTGCCATTTTCTTTTCCCTACACTCTTGTTTGGTTGACTGTAGTGTCTTCAACAGAGATTTGTCTGTCATAGTGATAGCTTTTGGATCTCCTGCCATTTATCTGCTGTTTTCACCTCTACTTTTTTTTTACCAGATGTCAAGTAAACCAGACTTTTATTTTATGGATTGATATGTCAAAGTCGGTCAGCTAGGGTGTATTGCCAAGAAATAACAGTTTGTTGCTATAGAGTATTGACCAATCACAGTTGGGTATTAACACATCGTGTAATACATTGTTTTAGTGTCTTTCTGCAATTTATGGATCCCTTCAAGTTTTAAGAATTGAAATATTTTATCCTGTGCCCATAAGTTATAAACTTGTTTTTCACGATATAATTGTTGTGCGCACACAAGTTGAACTCACCAGCAGTGGTGAGCACTAACAGATAGTAACATTACAATTAGCAACTGCAGTAGTGTAACTTCATTTTCAGTAGCTTTGCAGTAGTGTTCGTTTTTTTTGATTAAACAACTCCTTAAGCATGTAGCACAGTAGCATCTACAAAGACACGTTATTCCTCAACAAACACAGCAGAACACGCTGTTCAATGGGCCTAAAGCTCCAGGCCAGCTCTCTTCTCACGGAGTGAACTGTCCAGAATTCTATATTATGCAAGAACGAATGCAGAAGTGTAACTGTGGCAGATCATCTACTTCCGTGTAGCTGTGATGTCTCTCACGCCATCCCAGCAGCTGGTGATCAAGCAGGTGTATAAGCACGAGTTCAGCTAATGGAGCCACACAAGTAATTCTTATACAAGTTTTATACATATGACACAGCAAACTCAAATCACTGTCATTTACATTCATGTTTCATCTTTTTGAGGATGTTGCATGATTGTAGTTGTTTGTATGTGACCACTAAAGTTTTGATATTAATATGGAAATAAAATAGAATAAGATTATATTTTATAGTAAGATGATGATTAGGAAAAAAAAAAAAACATAACATAGATTTGGATCTTTCATCCACAACCTCAAAAACTTAAAATTGCACTCCAATTAAATCAATTGAAGCCAACTGCAAGGATTAGTGAGGTCCATGTCAGCCCAAATTAGAGTTGAGTCTCATCTTAACAACAGAAATGAAAGGGAGAGGGAGGGAAAAAGAAAGATGTTATACTGAGAGAGCAGGACAAAGAAGAAGAGTTTGTTGACAGGGCAGGAGAGATGGTGGGAGGAGGGAGGAGACGGGTAAGTAGGGCAGAACACAGATAAAAGTAAAGAGACAAAAGAGCAAGACGAAGAAAGACAGAGAGAAAGAGAGCAGAGGCACATGATGGCGGTGAAAATGATGGGAGAGAAAGAATATGACTTGTTTCAAAGTGAAGGAAAAAGAGAAATGAGACCTCAGACAAGAAAAGTGGTGAAAGAATTGAAGAGCGAGCCCAGACGGAGGATAGATATGAGGAAGAAAAATGAGGGGAGGTGAAGACAGAAAAAGACAAACTATCAGGACACAGATACAGATGGATAAAGTCAACAGAAAAATGAAGACAGCAAAGAAAGAGAATAGAATAAAAGTCTCAGAGACAGTAAGAGAAAAGAACAGAGAGGAAGGAAAGAGTGTGAGAGAGTGACTCAGCTGTTCTAAAAAATGTTTTTTAACATAGCAACAGTTTCACCACCACATATTTTTATCTGTTTATTTAGATCACACCAGTGTCATACTTCATCCCTTGTGTTTAGTCCATGCACGCTGCTCTACATAGATACAGGAGCTATATATACATACGCATAATTTTATAGCTGTGTTGTTATGTGTGGGTGAGTAAGGTGATTAAGTCTGAGTATGTTTGAGGATCATTTATTTCTCATACAACTCTGTTACTTTAATGTGTTTAAATTCATCATTAGAGGTGGATAAGTACATCCTGAATGGTTTCTGTAGGAGACATGTTTTAGGCTTTACCAGCGTTACCTAAACGATGAACAGAGACAAAAAGAGGCCTTGAGCTATATCTTCAAGTATGCTAACATGCACACAAAGCAAGAAGAAACAAGGTATAACACTGAGCTTAAGTTTATGTGTGTTAACATGGTAACGATATAAAGAGTACAGTTGCCATGGGCATCTTTGGAGTCATAAGGAGGTGTAGGTGTTAATAGAGATTTAATGACTTTGGATGTTAACAATTTTAGAGAACACAGAGGAACGCAGAAATCGACTCACTCTTTGGTAAATAGCTAAGGGGAATGAGGTTTCTGAATTCCTCTGTGACTGCAGTACATCAAGGTTCAATTTTCCAGCTGCAGTTTTGCCTCATTTCCAAACTAACCATTAACCGAAAACACAATTATGAAATGATGATCATGGTCAACATTAATTCCTGAAGTTGTCTATCCATTTCAGACAATGATGATTGTCCCAGCTACAGTCAGGCCAGAGTCAAGAGTCCTGATTTACTTTGGGGATTCTGACCAACTGGTTGGTCACACTGGTTTTTAACTTAGACTAGAGTAAACAAACTACCAATCAGAGTCCAAAGAAAATGTCACAGACTCCTGTGGTTAGAGGTTATATCAGAATAAACACACATGGTAGACAGCAGGATAAAAATAATGGTAAATGTCAACTTTTTAGCTACCTGGTTAGTTAGGGTCTATAACTGGTCATGTTACAACCAACAATTTAATCCCCCCCCCCCCCCCCCTTTCAGGAATAGATATCTGAATCTAAATACAGAACATGTTTAAGATTTATTTTCCCACAGTAAAGTTGCATTTAGACAGGATGTGTGTAAAGCAAATGCTGTGTGTTGAGATTCCCCAGTTCTTATAATCTGTCCAGTTGGCTGCTTCCTGTTTTAGTGTTGGAGAAACAAACCTATGACAATCGGTGACAACATCCTGCCATTGCAGTTTTTCCTAAACATTCAAACACACATTCAGAAACTGTGATTCTCTTGAGGAAATAAGGTCTGCTTTTTTTCAATTTTTGTAAGGAGTAGAGTGTTTTTCTTTAATGTCGCTTTTAAAGTAGCCTCCCGGATGCTGATGCTATTCTAATGTACTAATTTGGCAGTTATATCACATGTCTGTCAACATCACTAGTGATTTACTGCCACTAATATTGTTAGACAATGAATTTGTCAGATTTTCAGAGCCAAAGCAAGAGATTATTTGACAAACCTTGGACTGAATTTTACAACCATCTTAAACCAAAGGATCATCAAAATGGACTTCATGACAACTCATGTAAAGCTCTTTTATATGTTTATTTGCAGTGTTTTAAATGAGGTTGTGACTGAGAAATCCCCTGAGTACTTTTTTTTATTAAAAAAAATGTTGAAAATCATCACCTGTGATTACTGGGTAAAGCGATCAGTCACAGTCGTCAAATATTTCAACTGGAATTGACTAACCAAATGTGTTATCTCCAGAACCATGTCAAATAAAAGCAATGTAACAGTTTTTGAGGATGAGTTAGGGTAAATGATAACAACAGATTTTTTAACAATGAGAAAAATCCACTTCAAAGAATCCTTAGAGGAGCATCTGTCCTCATCTTTCACATCCAGAGCAGCAGGATCTCTGGGTGTTTCTGTTTCTTAAATACAGCACTGGCAGCTCTTACTCTGTCCTCACTCTACAGGAATGTGGATCAACATCTGAACCCCCCAATTACTGACCACTGCTTCATGAATTCCCCTCTCCTTCTTTTCATTTCCCTTTTTCTAATGGGCTCTGTTTTCCTCATTTTTCTCCTTTAGACCTTAAAGCCCTCATTTTTTTCTTCTAGGTTCTCTGCCATATTTCTTTCTTTTGTTCCTCAGCTCTTTCGCCTTCCTTTCAAAATTTTCTCCTTTTCTTTTCCAAATCTAAATTTAAAATGTTTTTCCACAGCTACTTTCCATTTCTTTAACCTCTCCTTTTTTATCCACCCTCCCCTCCTCTCATCTTTATTTTTTTGGCTCTCCTTCAGCAGGTTCTCGACTGACTCATCCCCCACTCATCATTTCACTTTGAATGACTCATTATTCTCACTGCATGATTTACACCAGTCACATTCAGAGCAACACCTTCAAACTCACAAGCAATACCATGGATAAGTCTTTGCATGGGTACAGGGAGCTAAGTAAGGGAGCTAAAGAGCAGTCGTCACATCAGAGGCAGGTGTTCAGACACAGATCAAAAGTATCTTTGTAGCTCACTCTTTATCCTGTGTTTTTAAGCCTCAAGTTCTCACTCTTTCTTTGAGATATACATCTGCTGCAGTTTTGGGAAAGCTGTAGCTACAGCCCTATTTTTCAATCAGGAGATTTGTGGTTAGAGCCCTAGCTCCTCCCTTCTTTATGTTGAAGTATCCTTGGCCTAACACTGAACCTCACTGCAGTCTTGGCATCAATGCATTGAGAGGTGGTCTCCAGAGGAGTGCTATGTTTTGAAAGAATTGTCCCACATTTTGAATGACTGACTATGGTACTTCCATATACACATGTATGTGCATGAAATGTCAAATGTCTTAGGTGGTGTCTCTCAGACTTTCAGCACTCAAAGGCCATTTTTTCACTATTTCTTTGTGCAGAGTGAGGTTAATATTACACATCATCCTCTTAAGCCAGGATCTGAACTCCATAGTTTTTCTTCACTTAAAGGGATATTCCGGTGTAAGTTAAAGCCATGGTCAATATACAAGATGCACAAGAACTCTGATTGCATTTCCATGAAGTAATGATCATAAATTTTCTTCCTTGAGCTGCAGAACTCTTGAGCTGCACTCGGTGATCGACTCGTCAGGGCTCCCCCACAAACAAGTGGCTGCTGGAGGAGAGTGGGTAAGTTGTGTTTGGTCTCTTTGCCAAAGAAACCAGGCAAAGCTAAAAAGATGTTTGATGGCTAGTACTACGTGCTGGGACCCTATTTGCTTAAGTACCACTTTGAATTTTTGCAAGAGATGGCGGAATGAAATAATTGATAAAAAAAAATCAAATTTAATTAAAAAAAAAAAACAACTTACCATACAGCATGGAAAATGGTTACTAATGTGAGTTGGTAAGTAGTTCAGTAGTCATGTGAAACAAAAGGAAACAACACGTCAAGATCATTTTGGAAGAATACTGGAAGAAATCGCTTTTCTCATCTCCTGTAACACTTACAAAGCCCACACAGAGTGGTTGTGTCTGGTGTCTGTTTTCTTCAATTTCTACGAAGACAGAGTGACATCAATTTCTATTGTGTGATATACGATCCTTTGTCTCTGAGCATTTTTCTCAATCTTTGTTTCTCCTTGCAGGTGATGGGTCAGCCATTCAACCACAAATATACATTTTTGTGCTCACCAGAGACGTGAAAAAACCTTGAAGTTGTTCACTGATAAAATTATGCCAGATTGAAACTAATGTTTTGCCACAATGTCAACAGGTAGAAGTGAGAAGTGTCACTTTAATCTAGAGAAAAACTGTTACACACTATTGTTTTGTTAAAATAACGGAATTTTGCTCTGGAATGGCAACTAAGAATTGTGAAACCAAACCTGCAGCATCTGTCCAAGTATTTATCCAAGTTATCCCTTTGGCTGATGTTACACCCTCACATTTATTTTGACCATTCTGTGCCATGCCCCTTTATTTTTAACTTATTTCTGTATCCGGTGTTGCCAAATGCTCCCAATGATTGCCCAACCCGTATGGAGCTTGTGGCATCCAAACAGCTGCAGAGTTTGAAATGAGCAAATGGGGATTA